TGGCTTACGTGGCAATCAACATTTTCATGGGTTTAAAGGAGGGTACTCATCATTGATTTCCTTTGAAATGAACTTGGTTTTGGTACTTCCTATCAATAGTAGGGCTTGTAGGTTATTTATCATACTATTGTTGGATAATATCTCTTTGATCGAAGATCCAATATTTTTATCTCTACTCTACCCGCAAGCAAATACCCTGTCCTAATTGTAGTAGTGAATTCTTGGAGCATTACCAAAATAGTTGAGATTTATTTCTGTCTCCTCCAGGAAGAAAGGAAAACACTTGACGGAGAGTTGACTCTTGCAAAAGTAACAACCAATAGAGTAGCTGTACTTGTAGCAAATGAATGTACTTTCTGTTTGTTGTTGGAAAATTGTTTTCCTATTTTGATTAATTTTGATATTTAGTTTTATCTTTTGATGCCTTATTATGTTTATGTTTAGCTGTATGTAAGAGACTTGTCCATGAGAGAGAGTCTTTTGCTTTGCGCAGGAATATCTGATTCAACAATTGGCATTATATGAGGAGAATACATGGGTTGCAACTATAAATTCGGTGTAATCCTCATGAGGTTGATGAGTTAGCATGTGCGGTTTTAGGATTTTAGCAGAGGTCATGCTAAAATTTTGACATTTTTTGTTTGAGTTATGTTTGATGAATGAGTAGTAAATCCTTATTGTACTTTATTGAGTTGTGATAGAGAAGACTGTTGTTTGTTATTTATAAATACACGTGTTTATACTATTAGTAGGTAGTGAGCTTGTTATGTAGTCTATTTTTATTTTATAATGTTGGAGACACGTTTTTTTACAAAGTGACTTTCTTACCTTATCTATCTTTCGTTATTCATTTATCTAACTTGGGTATTGTTTTTCATTAGGTCTTTAACGATCTCAAAGACGTCGACAATTAGGAATGCAACTAATTGATTCATGTTGCGGCCGTTTCATTCAAAGTTCCATCATAACAAAGGTAAGCTATTTTAAGCTTTTCGTCATCATTCATACTATAGCATTTGAATATTAAATACTTATGAATCGAACTTGTTATATGCTGGGAATATAGTTATATTATTGAGTACGTTTACAAAGAATACTGAATATTGATTATAGACGAGGAATGTAGGTTTACAATCCCTCTGCTATACTAGCTAGTTTATGTTATATTGTTTAAGTTCATTTTGTGTTATGCTGCTGAAGGATATAGAAGAAATGTTCGGTTATTTTTGTTATTGTAACCTCTGTTATGTTGGAACTTTGTTTGATCTTTTTGTTGGTTATCATATCATATTGATACTTTCTTTACAGGATGATTGTATTGATATTTTGTGCTATGTAATTTAAGGATGTAGAAAAAGTGTAGGATGTGGTTTATTTGAATCGCGCTTCTTCTATTTGGTCGTTTGTTGGTTGTTTTATTTATATTATCGAGTAAGTTGATAAGGAAGACTATGAATGTTGATGTAGGTTGGTTTTTGTTTAATCATTTATCTAACTTGGGTATTGTTTTTTCGTTAGGTATTTCTTACCCCAAAGATGTCGACAATTAGGAATGCAACTAATTGGTGGCTGAGCATCGTTGTTGGGGTTGGTGTGTAAGGAACATGTTTAATTATGTAATTATGTAATTTGTGTTTGAGAATACTAGTACATTCTAAATTAATATATTAGCTTCCTTGTTCATGTTTAATATATTTCAACTTTCTTATGGTAAATTAATATATTTGCGTGTTCGATCGACAAGTTGACAATATGATATTTATATCCGCGACATCTGCAATCAAAATTAAATACATATTTAGTGATCCTCTTTTTATTGTCACAAAATAAAATCATTAGTGACGTTTTTAAACCGTACCAAAATGTTTTTTAGGACGATAATTATCAAACGTCACAGAATAAACTTGTCATGACGTTTAAACACCGTCACGAAAGGATGTCACGTGACTTCTCCTCCCATGTTCAAGGTTTTTTCGTGACATTCTATAACCGTCACGATTTCATGATGATTTATGAACGTCGTGAAAGTCCATGTCTTTCATGACGCTAATAAACTGTCACGTGTGCTAATTTTTGTGATGTTTTTTAAACGTCTCGTATACCTTTCGTGATGGGCGTATACATGACGGCGTTAAAAACGTCACGATAGCTTTTTGTGACGTCATAAAAACGTCACGATAGACCGAATTTCTAGTAGTGAAAGCGGATGGATTGGATAAATTATTCATATAAACATTTTGTGTTTCTTAGCTTTTCTCGATGTAATAAAAGTTGAAAAACAGTAAATTTTGAAAACATGTGTATAAAAAAGTCTTCTAACAAACGCTTTTTTGATTTTTGAGTGATTTATTATTAGTTGTATTTTACAATTTTCTAACTTTTAGTTGTGAGTGGGGAATTTTTTTTTTCTTTTATACCTTATTCAAATTTATATCATTTCAAATTATATCTAAATACGACAACTTAAGAATGTAAATTATTTTTTTTGGTTGAGAAAAATTTATGCATTTTTTTAAAAATATATGACAACTTTTCATTTTCTTTTTCAAATATAGAATAAAATTGACTTTTTTTAGTTTAAGTTTTATCTGGACCATACTATTTTTATAAGAATTTAAACTTTATGCTCCATTTTAAATAATTAATTTATACCATCTTAAGGTCATCGACTTGATCCCATAAATATTAAACTTAATATATATATATATATATATATATATATATATATATATACACACTTTGGCATAAATAACATTGTTGTATGGTAAGTTTATAAAAGAACTTAAAAAGATGTACAAAATTGGCTAGTCCAATTATAGAGGAAACTACATTTTCTAATAAAGACTTAAATGTTACAACAAAGTATTGAAGGAAAAAAATAGTATTTGGCAATAGGATAATCCATCC